GACTTTTCTGTATTCATTAACTAATGTCAACCGTTAATGGGATAGTTTAGAACCTGTCTTTGACTTTTCTCTTCATTTACCTCTGTCTTATTTCTTGATGAAGATGGTCCTTGGAAGTTGGAACCAGAATGGATTATGGATTGAGATAAGCCAATGAAGAAACAATAAGTTATTGGGCCTTGTTTTGGGTATAGCAAATTGTCCCAATTAATTGGAAATTAGCATGAATAAGAGAAAAAAACAAACTATAACTAAAATTCTAACAAATTAACCTATATCTAAAGGTTCATATTTTGCTACACATGCTAATTTTATTTACCCTTAAATTATAATTTTTTTTTTTGGTTAGTTAGCAAATTGTCTCTAAATTAATTCAAACCAACAAAAAAAAAAACTTTTTTACAATGATCGTCACCAATCGTTTTTTCCTAAAAAAGTAGAAAGAAATTTTTGAATATAACTAGGATGAATATATTTTCACACAGGTCTAGAACCAAACCATCTGATTAGCCCCTCTTCATAACGGAAAAATGTCTGAGATACTCCAATCTGTTGAATGGAACATATACGATTCCCAATACTTTTGTCGATGGTTTTGATAAGCCAAGTGAATGGAACATTTTTTTCTTTCTTTTAACTCAAAACCTACTTCATTTCATTTCTAATACTTTTTGTTTATACATGGAAATACTCTCTTTCAATTATTGGACATAGCTAACTAGGAATACTACAATCCAAGATCGTCTCATATAAGTGAAGGGAAGATGCATACTTAGCAATCTGATCCGCCACACCATTTGCCTTCCTTCCTCGATAAGAAAACCGTAGTTCCAAATGTCTCCTTGTCGATCCCAAGACTTCACTTGTGTAACTCCCTAATCGTGGCTGTGTGTGTGGAAGGCACTTATTAGATTCTTTGCATCCGATTCAAAAGTAACTTTGGTGTACCCTAGGTTATCCACACAACTCATAGCCCATATCAATCCATCAACTTCAGCACCATACGAAAAGAAGGGTTGACAAATAATATATTTACGATAAAGCTAAATTTTCTAAAATGGGATATTCACAAATATCAATCACATTACCACAGAATAAACGTAAAACTGAAAATTAAAAAAATGATTTGAATGATACTCTCGGACCAGACTTACATTCAATTGAATTGGGGATAACATTAGTCCAAGTTGAGTTGGTTGTTGCAAAAGAAGATTTGGTTGCTTAGTTACTGTGAAGTCAACACTAAGTTTGCTGCCAAGGAATGAAGACAATCCAGTGATAAATTGCTTCTTTCACTAAAATGTAAAGATAGAGAGATAGACGACTTTGTGAACC